ATGTTTTCCAACCCCCCAAAATTTAATACAATAACATAACACGAAACCGTAGTTGTTGTTGTTAAATGTAAGAACCCACAACACGTTACCAAATCCATAGAATTAAACTTTGAAATTTCAATTCTAATTCTTTCCAATACACATTCCCCATTAATGAATTTATCTCCTTAACCTCGTAACTGCCATTAATTCGCCACCTGTTATTTCCACTCTCTCTCCTCCCTCACTCACTCACTCTTTTTTTCATCGCCGCCGATCATGCCGCCGCACGCCGACGGCACCACCTGCTTTTCCAACGCCGATGACCTAATTTCCGACCACGATGATTGTCCGCATTGCCAGGAATCCGATCAATCTCCGTCATCTTCCGAGACGAATTCCGATAAACTTCGCCGGATTATCTCCGCCGCCGTTAAAGGTTTCTCTATTGGTGCTGGATTGAAAGGCGGTGTCTCGATTTTCTCTCTCCTCGCTCGTTTGAGTCGCCGGAGATCCCCCAATTCTCTCAAGTTAGTTTCATTGCTTCGTTTTTGTTACTTACTATTTTTAGTAATTTTGAGCTGGGTTTTTAAGGGTTTGAAATTTGAATTGGTTGCATGTTTCAGGAAAGTGAGTAATGTTTCGAGTAGTGAGGAGATTTTATCGGTGATTAAGGAAACTTTGAGATATGGATTGTTTCTTGGTGTTTTCGCTGGTACTTTTTCTTCAGTTGATGAAATTGTTGCGACTTTGGGTGGACATCGTAGGTAACTTGTTTCTGAACTTAATTCTCGTCATTTGATTTGTATAATTTAGCTTAATTATAGCTTGATTAAAGTGTCTAGTTTAGTGCTGTAATTTTGTTTAGTTTGTATAGAATTACCATGAAATTGAAACTTTGTTGATTGTTGATTGGATAAGACATGTTTGAGCAAATTAGAGCTCACATTCATGTGTTATGCGTGGTTCTCCGGTCCGGAATTAGTTGTCACGTTGTCCCAATCTTATGGTAAGGGTATGGCATGATTTACTGAGAAATGTTTTACGGAGTATAATAGTTAGGTCATTTCCATGTGATTCTCATCACTTTATTTAAGTTGGGTTGCTCGGGAATTCTAATCATTAACTATTACTATTTCAAGTAAAGTGACAATTTTTTTCAGATGCATTCTGATCATGTTTCCATTTGGAGTCGGAAGGGCTATCAGTTGTATTGGTTTTGTGTGTCTAATGAACAAGAAATAAAAATATTGTTAAAGCCTTCAATACGAACCTATCCGTGTGGCTCCTTGCCACTATTAAATGATTGGCTTTGCTAGATCCTTCGTAAAAAATGCGCAGTTTGATTGCATTTTTTCCAGTTTAACAGTAGCTAAGATGAGTGATTATACTTGTAGTCTATATGATATCAAAATGCAGTGAATTCTCAAGTTATTTGTGAAGATACGGAGGGTTGTTACTAATTTGTGTTTGCTATACTTATTGAAACAGGAGTTATAGTTCTGACTTTTTATCCCCTAAGTTAAACTCCTCCAATGCCTGTACTTGTCTAGTTGTATTGATTTTTTAAGTCAGTTTCATGTGTGATTCAGGACTGCGAAATGGAGGGCATTACTGGCAGGTGGTATTGCTGGGCCTTCTATGCTATTAACTGGGTTAAATACACAACATAATAGCTTGGCTATTTATATCCTCATGCGAGCAGCTGTTTTGGCATCTCGCTGTGGAATTAAGAGCAAACGATTTGGTCGCATCTGCAAACCATTGACTTGGGCTCATGGGGACATCTTCCTCATGTGTCTTTCATCCTCTCAAATTTTGTGAGCATACTACTAAACTTTTAAATGAATTTTTTTCACATAATTTGCGCAGGCATCTCAAATAAGTATATTTTGTGAAAAGGGCATTAACTTATGAAATACTAGTTCTCCAGCTATATTGTTAGCTGAGTTAGTGAATGACATAGGCTAGTGGATTGTAGTTCATGCATCCCAATTTTGGCATCAGGTTCTTCATTTCATCTAAAATTAATATCTTGTGCTCTAGTGTTACGAGGTCAGTTTTGCTTTTATACAGAATGCAGAGTCACATTAGTTAAAGTATATATCTGTCTGTCAGCAGTCTCTACGGTGTCTCTCTTTTCCTGCGCTAGATTTACTATTTCATTGCCTCAATTGACTAATTGGTAATTTGGTATATAAGAAAGCTAGCTTTTTCAGCAGTCCTGCTTTTGCTGATATAGGCATACAACATTTTCCAAGTACATAAGCTATGTAATTAAATTGGGACCTGCCTTTTCAGGTCTGCTTACATATTGAAGCAAGAATCTCTGCCTTCATCATACAAGTTGTTCCTCAATAAACATGGAGCAAAGGATTTGTCTATCCTGCAGGGTGTGAAAGAGATCGCTTGTGGCATGCCTTTTTCTAATCTGGGGGCAATAGAGAATTATTATAAATCAACGGGTATAGACATCAAATTAGACCCAGAAATGAAAGTTCCTTGCTCGGTATGAATATTTCTCTACCACTGTTATCATATTTATTTCCTTACATAGTTGAGAAAATTTTCTGTTAATTTGAAGGTTACATTTGCCTCCACAAGTAAATACTATTTTGCTGAAAATTTTAGCTGGTGATAGATTTTATGATCACAACTTGTGAATAAAGTGTCTATATAATCATGCTTGTATGTGATTTCTCTTCATGGCCGTATGTGTTAGGGATCTTACACAGTGCGCTTTGGTAGAGTAAAGGGACAACATGTAATAATGCTAGCAGCGTCTAATTGTTGATCTCAATGGATAATGCAGATTGTTCATGGGAATCAATCATGTGCGGCTCATGTCTTCACGTTTCTTATTCAAGCGTATAAAAGAGCACTTCCAGTGTATCTTCCAGTATATTTGGTTCCTGCACTAATAGTTCATCGTAAAGACCTATTGAAAAGGTAAGATCTTTACTAGCCAGTCTGTCATTATGCTGCAAATGGCCCCTAGCAGAGGTGGTTTTGTTATATCTCGTTCAAATTATATGCCTTGTACCTTTGTTACAACCTTTTGCTTTAATTATAATATATAGAAGGCTGATAGGATTTTGAATGTGTCCTCAAATCATCTGCTTCTGCATCAATAGATGTTGTACACAACAGTCTACTCCTCAAGTACCATGAGGGAAAGGTGAAAAAAACCCTATCTAGGGAGTGCTGAATGACCTAAGTAGTACCTGGCTGATGTTTCTGTATGACTGTATCTCACTACCCACCTTGTTTCCCACGCTTTGTGAGGCTTATTATCATAGACATTGCATTATGATGTGACCAAATTTATCCTTCAGTTCTTATCTTTGTTTAATTAAGAGTAACACATGTATTAAAGCAGGACAAACTTTAATTTGTCAATGCAGTAGGATATAACATGTGTGCTTCTTAGTTCTTAGTAGAGCCCAACCCAATAGGAGTATAACATGTGTGCTTCTTGTATTCTTGAAAATTAGGCTATGGGATTTAAATCCTTGTAATCCTTGCTAATCACTATGTTTATCTAACAATGTTTTTGTCTTTTGTTGTGCAGACCGTACCCAATATTGGGGAAGAGTGTTATCGGTATTGCACGGTCAAGCTTGTTCTTGTCTTCGTATTGTGCTTCTGCCTGGTAGGTATTCTTTTGTCCATTACATTCAACGGTAATTGGCTCAACAGGTATTTGTATCTCTTGGGTTAACAACTGGAAAGTGCTGTTATTGCTACATGTTCACTTATACTTCTGGCAGAAAACTATCTTATAACATATTGACTATTGAGGGATAAACTGTGAGACACAGAGGCTAATGTTCGAATTGTACGTGTCTGAAAACTTTGGCAGTTCTGTCAAAAACACACACACACACTTTGGCATTTGGAGGTTGCTCCTGTGTTCTCTTTTTAAGATTGTTTGCTGTATAACTTAAAATTTTCTGTGATGGAGCTCCTCTCTTTATTCTAAACTATGGACTGCGCATGATACGTTCTGAAGCCTTTAGTATGCATTAAATGGGTTAAACTGGAACTAAGCCCACCGAGTTTAAGAATCTCTCATACTTTGTAGTTTTATTACTTTTAAACAGGATCCTTAGTGGAATTGTAGTGAATCTTGCATTTATACAACTGAAGTTACAGTACAACTTACCCATTGTTTCAGGATGTGGACATGCATTCTTTTTAGGATTTTCAAGAAATGCAACATTCCAATGGTGGCAATGGGGACGGTACTTTTTCTTCTCCTAGTTTTTCCTTTTCTATTGACACTTCCCCTCCTTTCTTCCATCCAAAGAAAGAAAAAAACAAATCAGGTTTTGCTCTGTGTTTCCTAATGGTAAATCTGGCTGTTAAACAGACCCCAGCTGGCCTTGCACTAGCCATTGAAAAGAAAAGCAGACGAATCGAAATATCATTGTATTGCCTAGCTCGTGCAATCGAGAGCTTCTTCACATGTATGGCTGACATTGGATATCTCCCTCAATCACTAGTAAACATCAAGAGAGCCGATGTGGTTGTATTTAGCTTTTCAACAGCCATTATTATGCACTGCTATTCACAAGAACGAGAGGTCTTCAGATCTAAGTACCTAAATGTTCTCGATTGGGTATTTGGTGTGCCACCACCACCCTGCTACACTCCTCGCTATAGAAACAAACAGAAGAGCGAAGAATGAACTTCAAGCATCTAGGATCATCATTTTTCCTCCCCATCAAGTTTTTCTTTAACCCATGTTTCACTAGGGAGCCATATGTACAAGTGTACAACAATTAGTTACTACGAGTAGTCACATTATTAACGATAGGTCTATACTCTGTCTATAGTGTTTTTGTAAGTTGTAACCCTCATTCAATGTATGGTAATTTATGTAAACTTTCATTTTTGCAGTAGTTTCATTCGCGTTGTTATGTAATACTTGTATACGGTAATCAATTGATTGATTTAGCTCTAACTGTTTCGTAAATTTCATTTGAGTAATTCATGAAAACCAAACGCACACAACAATGTCAATACTCAACTTGCATCATAGCATCAAAATAACACGTTTTTCTTCATTGAGACATTTCATCAAACACTTAATATGCATCCATTATAAATTACAAATTACAATCGTAACTGTTTCAAGTAATAAAAAGAATCAAAATCAAACTTCATCTTCATGAAGAAGCATATTAGGAATACCCTTATTAACAGGGAACTTACGCCCAGTTTCAGGGCAAACAAGGGCACCTTCTTCAAGATGAATCTCAAGCAGAGCATGATGAAACTTGGTAAGAAATTCCTGAGAAACAAGCAAAGATTGATCAACATCTTCAGGTAATTCGGAAAATCCCAAGGTTTTAGCAGCATCAACAAATGGCTTCCATTCGATTTTGCTGAAGATGTTGTTGAGAAAATCGGAATTCATATCGACTTGTTTCTCCACCACTTTGGCTGCTTCGATTTTTAGAGGAAAGCCATTGATAACACCTTTGATGTTGGAAGATAGCATGTTGTGTGTTAACAGCCTCATCGTCAAATTTTCTCTCTCCTCTCTCGAACAACTCCGGCGGCGAGAGTGTTGATTGTTTTGTTCTGGTTATTTTGTAGTGCTACACTTAATTAGGTGATTTGGAGTGATAACTTGATTTTACTTTCACCGTTGGATTGGACTTTGGGATGGGAGTTGGGTTGGCATTGGGCCGTGTCGAGACAATCATTTAGAACGGCTTGTATAGCATCTACCCACCCAAAAAAAAAAAAAAAAAAAAAAAAAAAAAAAAAAAAATCAATAGACCAACAAAGTGTTGGTTCGTTTGGTAAGTTTCTCTCAATGTTAGAAGTTAGATGTTTGAGGTTCGAATTATGCTAAGGGAGGGTGTTTGGGTGTCGGGATTTCCTTACCCTTCCCTTTACTTTTAAGTGCGGAAGTGTCTGACCTGCAAATACTAGATTGGAAAAAAAAAACACTTAAGGTTGAGGTAAAGATGGCACCGGGCTGGAGTGGCCTGAGGCCCAGCACGAAAAAACACGACACAAGCACAATGTCGGCCCTGCCTAACACGTTACCGTGTGTGTGTAGACTGTGGACTGCTTTTATTTGGGAGAAGCATGATACGACACGGCCGAGCCCGGTACAACAAAACATGTTAAATTCAATGCAATTTTGCTTAGGCACGAGCCAACCTTTTGAAAACTTCGGCCCGACACGATACAACACGTAACTCATAGACCAAGCCATGGGTCGGGCCTAACTAAGCCTAAAGCACGTGGGCTTGGCACAGGGCACGACCCAAAGCCATCTTTAATTGATTGGGGTTCAATCATGTACTTTAAGGGTGGAGAACTAGTGATCTCTTACCTTTTCCCTTCAGTTTCAAAATGTCTGACTCATAAATAATAGACCAAATAAACCGTGAGGGTTGAGATCTGGTCACGATCCAACTATTATACTTCTTGTAAGCTACAGAGTATTGACTAAACCAAATCATCCTAAGACTAAGGTGTTGTTTGTTGGTTGCCTTTTTTTTTTTTTTTTTAGTTGGTTGCCTTTAACTTCTATAGGCACTCCAATTTCTCATAAATTTCCTTTTGGCTATATTAGTTGGTTGATATGAAGGGCCTATTCACTTCAACTTAATTTCAGTTCAGTTCAGTTTAGCTCCAATCAATTTAATTCGGTTCAGTTCATCTCCTAGTTTCCTTCTCTCATAAAATATTCATTTAAACTCTATTTAGTTTAGTTCAGTTCAGCTCTAATCTGTTCAGTTCATTTCAGTAAATGTAAACTAGCCTTAAAAAGCAAAAATGAAGGAAATCACAATTTATGGGAATTTCAACCACAAAACATGGAAAATTATTCATCGTCCTCACTCTTGGTCATTCACAATTCCTACGATTTACAAATTCCCACATTTAATTTGTGTAATTCCTTGAAAATTTATAAAGGAGTCAATTTCTATAAATATTGGGAATTTATTTTCTACGTCAACCAAACAAGGCCTAAAACTGAGCTAACTATAGTATTGAAGCATAACTTCGTCATACCCCCTTCTTCAAATTTTTATAGTATTGAAGGCTTGAAGCACGCCTCTTTAATTTTGTGATGCACATTCCTCACCACCTTCAATTTTCATTTTCTAATGCACGTCTCTCACCAACCTCTAATATTTGGATTTTGGAACACTTCTCTTCACAGTGTACTTCTTGTCTCAAAAGCAATATAAACTTTCTTTCACAACCATTTTTGTCATTGAGTCAGGCTCAATTTGCTCATTGTTTTGGATTCTACAATTCTTTGCCAAATTCCCAAAATTTTGACATTTGAAGCATTGTGGCTTACCTTAGCCAACAATCTATATTTTTTCTTTCATATTGCTGTGATTTACCTCATTTCCCAACAATAGGGTTTATCAATTTGTTGTATCTACGAATTTTTTTTCATATGACGTTTCATCTAATTGTAATTTATGGATTAATTTTTTTTTTGAGGCCGTATAAATTCTTACCCATAAGATAACTTGTACTATAATAAACTCAAAAAACTAAATTTGAACAAAGCTCACCATAAGGGCACTTAGGACCTGTTCTGTTCAGCTTAATCTCAGTTCCGTTCAGCTCAGTTCAGCTCAGCTCGATTCACTTCCTAATTTTCTTCTCTCATAAACAATTTATTTCAGCTCTGTTCAATTTAGCCCCCAATCAGTTCACTTCAGCTCCAATCAGTTTAATTGTTTTCAGTAAATCGGAACAGACCCTTACTATGCAAAGAATGTAATTTTATTAAATCTAATAATAAAACAAGAATAAATTAAATAGAAAGTGCTGGAATACTTAAAAATATCCGTGAAGAAATTTGACTACTTCAGGCCTATAAACACACAAATTTTATGAACGGTAGAAAGAAAATAGGGAGAGAAAGGAGAAGGCCGGGAAGGCTAGGATTTTTCGAAGTTAGCTGATAGATTTAATTGTACTAGCTAGTGGCGTAAACTTGTTATCTTGCATATATTTTCTAAATGGACCTTCGGTGGGATAAGATGAAGTTATGGGTCCATAGTCCATACTCCATCTGATGGACGTTTTAGGAAACTAAGCTTCCCGAAGAAAATAATTACAAATTTGGTTGCGTGGCAAAAGTATTTACAAAAATAAGCTTCTGGGGTAAACCGCTGCCTCGGGCAGCGTTTTACCCTCTATTTTTTTTTAAAAAAAATTCTGCTACAAAAACGCTGCCCCAGGCAGCGTTTTTATAGTTTGACTTTTTTTTTCCCTCGTTTATTTTTTTTTAAAATTAATTAAAAAAAAAGGCAACAGCATAAAACGCTGCCCCAGGCAGCGTCTTATGCTTAAACATAAGACGCTGCCCCAGGCAGCGTCTTATCTTGTTAATGAAACGCTGCCCCAGGCAGCGTTTCTGTCTGGTTGTAAAACCAGAAACTCGAGCTTCGTTTTCAATCACGTTTGCTCTTCATTCCTTCGCCTCCTTCGCAATCCTCTTCCTTCCCTTCCCAAATTTCCTCTTCAATCCTCTTCAACCCAATTTCGTATTACATCCAATTCAAGGTATGGTTAAATATTAGTTGAGTATTTACAAATTGTTCGTTATGTTTGTTGAATTCTTGAATTGTTGGTTAGTGTTGTTGAATTATTGAATTGTTGGATATTGTTGTTGAATTGTTGGTTAGTGTTGTTGAATTCATGAATTGTTGGTTAGTGTTGTTGAATTGTTGGTTAGTGTTGTTGAATTATTGGTTATTGTTGAATTTCTTGAATTGTTGAATTTCTAGGGTTTATGTTGAATTTTGGGGGGTTTTTGTTGAATTTAGGGGTTTAGGGTTGAGTTGATGAATTGTGATTGTTAAATATTAATTTGGATAATGTAGAATTGTTGGTGTTGAAATATTGAAGATGTTAAGTATTTGAATTTATAGAATTATTGCTTGTTAATGGTGACCTAGTGATGCTTAGTTGTTCCAAAGTGGTTAGTTGGATGTGATTTAGAGATGGATTAGTGTGTTTTAGTGTAATGTGTTTTGGTTGTTGTGTAGAATATGGCCGCAAAGAATGTAGTTTTGTTGTGCCGGTGGGGAGGTGAATTTTTGTTTGACGGACCTCGTGTCGAGTATAATGGTGGAAATATGGAACCACTGACACTTGAACCGAACATGACCTTAGTGATTTCATGAACGAGGTTCATAGTAGCGTTAGTTCAAACCTGGGGAGTGTTGAACTAAACATTAAAATGAGGTTTGAGACCGGGAATGGGGTTCAAGTGTTACTTGTGTCCCCCGCCGCCTCTAGACCCATTCACCACCATTACTCATTACAGGCGGCGGCGTGTCAGACAGAGGGCCGAGCAACCTGACCTAGATCAATTGCCCCGGATAGATGAATCGGGATAGTGTTAGCTTAGTTATTTCATGTAGTAAAATTTTTGTATAGATTAGGTATATAACATTTACATTTCTAATATAATAAATGTTTTTCGGTCAACATTTGTGTGTTATGTTCTTTGTTTCCCAATATGTTTTGATTTATGTATATATTGACTTGTCAAAGGTGGTGGTGGAAGGTAGTGGTGTGAGGTGGAAGGTTGTTGGAGGTGGTGGTGGACGGTTGTTGGAAGGTGGTTGTGGTGGTGGGAGGTCGGGGTGGAAGGTGGTGGACGGCGGTGGAGGAAGGTGGTGGAAGCCGGTGGAAGGCGGTGGTGGAAGGTGATGGTTGGAGGTGGTGGTGGAAGGTGGTGGAGGTGATGGTTGGAGGTGGTGGAGGGCGGTGGTGGAAAGGGTTGGAGGTGGTGGAAGGTGGTGGTGGTGGTGGAAGGCGGTGGTGGTGGAGGGCGGTAGTGGAAAGGGGTTGGAGGTGGTGAAAGGAGGTTGGGGGTGGTGTTGGAAGGATGTTGAGGGTTGGGGCAAGAAACTGGTTTGGTGCTGCCAACCAGGTAAAACGCTGCCCCAGGCAGCGTCTTATGTTCAAGCATAAGACGCTGCCTGGGGCAGCGTTTTATGCTGTTGCCTTTTTTTTAATTAATTTTTAAAAAAAATAAACGAGGGAAAAAAAAAAAGTCAAACTATAAAAACGCTGCCTGGGGCAGCGTTTTTGTAGCAGATTTTTTTTTTTTTAAAAAATAGAGGGTAAAACGCTGCCCGAGGCAGCGGTTTACCCCAGAAGCTTATTTTTGTAAATACTTTTGCCACGCAACCAAATTTGTAATTATTTTCTTCGGGAAGCTTAGTTTCCTAAAACGTCCCCATCTGATAGCAACAACACATCATGACTTACAAATTCTACTAGCTAGGCTACATATCTTGTTATAAAGTTAAGGTTATGCATAATAAATTCTACGTACACATCATGTACATACTGCAAAATAAATTCTCATTCTCAAACACTCTTATTGCCAATTTGTCACCGTAAATGTAGGTCATGTTTGGCAAATGACTTTTTGGTTAACTTATGGCTTTTTTATGTGGTCAAACAGTCAAAAATAGTGTTTGATAATTGGCTTTTGAGTTGGGGAAAAGCTGGCTTTTAAGCTAAAATGAAACAGCTGCTATGAGTAGTTTTTTTTTTTTGTTGGCTTTTAGCTAGTTGACCAACAAAAAGTTGTTATGAATACTTAATAAACAGCCAACAACTAAGTTTACCTAACACCTTTATAAATAGCCAATTTCAAAAGCCATTATAAACAACCAAATATTCCAACTGGTCAAACAAGCCAAGTGAACCAGCTAACCGCCAACAATCATTTGCTAAACAAGTCCATAGTCTACAATTCTACATTGCCATATATAGTTTATATGAGGAAAAACATAAAGTTTCCCATCCTTTATTATGGTTCATGACCCACACCACCCACTATTCTAATTAACCCCTTTACTACACTACACCACACCATTGCATTTAATTAACGAGTTAGCAGACAGTTGAGAATTGAAAGATTTTCATTAAATTTGTACAACAACACAAGAAAATAAACTTACCTTACAAAAATAAAAATAAAAATAAATCAAACTACTACTATTACCAATACAAATGACATTACTAGTACTAGTCCACTTCTACTACAATTTCAACCTCATGCCCTCTTCATGCCTTACTAGTGTTAAGTGTTACTACTCACAAATATTTAACAAGTTATTGTTGTCTTAATTTCGCCCTCGTAAATTAAAACTTCTTGTGTACCTTTCCTTATTAAAAAAATACGAAGTGTATTTCGCTCTTGTAAATTAGGTGGTGGCCGGTGGACTAGATGGCGGACGATGCGGCGTTACGGCGGTGTTTGATGTGGTTAGCGGTGGTGGTAATGGTGGTGGGATTTTACACACATTCATTTAAGAAAATGATGGTAACATATTTTATCGGACTTGGTGGTATTGCTGGTATACTTTTGCCTGATTGGGAGTTCTTTGATAGAGAAATCTCTAAGTGGACTCAACCTGTTTGTGTTGATGATATTAATCGCTCTGATGTTCTTAGGCCTGGATCCTCAAGGTTAGTATAATTTTACCGTTTTGTTCTTCGTAATTTGGTTTTAGTTTTAATGTGTTCGGAATGAGTTGTCGCATTACTGGTTTAAATTATAGCATTCACCGACTTTTTTAGTTGGACTAGTGGTTGAGAATGAAATTTTTTAACCACCATTTCATTTGATCAGATATTGGTATATTCGCCTTTATTAAATTATACTATCAATGTGACAATTAATTTTGGATGGGAGCGTAATTTTGGTTTAGACTATGGTTGATTTTATGTTCATGTACTTGTAAACTTGTTCTTATGTTGATGCACTTGAGAACTTCATATCAATGTGATGATTAATTTCGATCAATGACATTTTTTTGTAGTAGTTTTTGGTGGTTTTCAGTAGATTACTTGGCCCATTTATTCGATTTACAGAATTAAAAATTAGATAACATATATATGAGGAGCAAATTTTCAAAACAAAATTGCAAATAAATCAACATGTGTTTCAATTGAAGAAGAGGTAGCTATAATGGTAGCACACATAGAAATCAAAGGTTTCGTGTTGGGTTCGAATCTTCGTGTTAACAATGGGAGGGAAGGGGCAGGGGAGACAAAAATTGATGTTAGAATTAGGCCTTTGGTTTAAGGTGGCCTAAATTAAAGGAATTTGTGTACCTAAATAAGATAGTTTAAACTTGCCTTACAAACTATTGGGGTTTGTTGCTTTCATCCTCTTTGTGTGGAACTCTTTTTGACTAGGTACATTGCTTCTTTAAGCATGAGATCATTTTTGTTACTACTGCTACCACCACTACTACTACTAGTTCGAGTTCATGAGTTCTTCATGTCTTACTAGTGCATTAAACGTTTTATCACGAAAAAAAATCAACTCCTTAGAAGTATATGAGGTGTGCTATGTTGTGTGGCTAATTTGTGCATATATATAGCATGTTTTTTTTACCATTTTTGCTGGCTGAAATTTTGCTGAGCAAGTATACCTTGAATTTGATGGTGAGATGCTAAATTTATCTCATCAACATAAGAACTCAATCTAGAGTAATATTCACAAATATGTTCTTTAAAAATTATGTTCATTTATCTCAACCTGCATACCCAGGCCAGGCCATGACATGGTTTCTTACTAGCCTGACTTAGCAATCGAGGTGTGTTTCTACCCCCATTGAATTGAAATAGAGTGTGGAGTGTACCATTTTCGATAGTAGTTTGTAAAGGGAATGAACAACTACAAAATTTTGGTTGTTTAGGGATAGCTTTGAATACATGGCTATTGGCTTAAAGCGAATTCAATAGCTAATGATGATGAGCTTGTTTATCTAGCTAGTGAAATCTTTTTGAGACAGAATTCTGTGTAAAATTGTATTAAGCTCTGATACATTCAATGAGGTGACCAAAATGTGTTTAATTTGGCCTAAACACCAATTTACATAATAGAAATAAAGTCTTATTATTACCTGTAATTGTGCATATATATTACACATTTTTGTAGGTTTCTCTGTTTTGCCTTAGTAATACTCATAACACACTGTGGTATGTACATACATGCAGGTTTCGGTTCTATCCGGTCAGAACAGTAATATACGTCCTAGTTTACAGCTTCGGGTTGTACAAGTGGTGGACGTATGTAAGGCAATGAACTTAATTATGATGATATCTTACACTACATCATATTTACATTGTCAATTAGTTGATGATAAATATCAGTTCAACTTGCAGATTGCAATGAACTTGTAGTGTAAGAACGAATGTAAAGAACCAATTCAGCTTGGCACTAATAGATATTTGGCAGAGGGATTATGTATTTCAACTTTGAACAAGCTTTTATTGAGTATGAAGTGATTAGATTTACATTAATAGGGGCATCAATTTTTTCCTCTTTATTTTATTTTAATTATCACATTCTAGGATCTTAATTACATGCTTCATGTATCACATTATTTTATTCAATAAAACTCCTTTTTTTTTTTTTCTTCTTTTTTCCCATTTTTTTCAAGTATAATGAGATACATAAAGTAAAAAGATGTTAACAAGTTTAATTTCAAATAATTTTAAGATACCTTTCGGTAATCAAGGACTACCATTAGCCAAATTCACTTTCTAAAATACGGAGTATCTTTTATTGGTAATTGAAGAATACCATTAATGGTTTTAGATAGGGATTATAATTACTACAGTAGCAATTTTAAAAATTCATGTCTACTATAGCTTGACCATTAAAGCTAAAACTGAAATTAATTTGGTCAAGCAAATTAGCTTCAATAAGCTCATTTGCTAATTTACTCAAGAAAAACTTGCCAAAAACAAAAAAAAAAAAAAAAAAGGATATATTTCGTAGTATAAATTACGGAGTAAGGGTCTGTTCTCATATGTTGAAATTCAGTTCAGTTCAGTTCAGCTCAACTCAGTACAATTTAGTTCAGCTGAGTTCAATTCAGCTGAGTTCAGTCAATCAGAACAGACCCTTATAGAAAGTTAATAGCTACTCCATAATAAGCTATTGTTTTGTACAAAGTACTCTAATGATACAAATTACAAAGTATACAATGAGATCACGTATCTGTCATTTCTTTCTCAATCCATTCCTCCTACTACTTCATGATCAAATTGGCATACTTTCTTTCTCTTCGTCTTTCTTTCTCTCTCTTATTTTCCTTCTAACTTTCTCTCTCCATTCCAAATAGACTAACAAACTAACAACGTCGCTTCAAAAAATAATAGTCATGGGAAACTACCATTGTACCCCTGGTATGGCAATCTATATAAACTCATATCATAAAATCATCGTCTTGACTTTGCTTTTGCACCAAATCAGAAAATCTGACAAATCAGAGAGAAGTTAGAGAATAGAATGGCTTGTTTATTATTCATCAATAAGTGAGTATTTATACAAAACCTACGAACATAAAATAGGAAACAATATTTCTAAAAGATATACCATATAACCGAATGATATATTCTCTAAATAATATCTTAACATAAGATAATACTAAATATATTATTATCATAACAATATCTATACGGAAAATATATCACATATATTTTCTGATATATCATATCTCTAACACCCTCCCGCAATCGTTACGACAGTAACACGAACGTTGCGATTGGAAATTCTTCAATTTGTTGAAGTCGAGATGCTTGTGATGTCGCCTTCAATTTTATTTTTTTTCTTTTCATTCTTCAATGATGAGAACCTTCATCTTTTTCGAACTCATCAGTCATCAATCAAACAGAAACCTCATTCTTTTCGAACCTGCAAAATTTTGGTTTTTCCAGAGAAAAACCGAGCTCCAATCAAATATTGGTTTGTCAGAGTAAACCACACTCAAATTTCTTATTGGTCTTTCAAAGTAAACCACACTCAAATTTCTTATTGGTCTTTCAGAGTAAACCACACTCAAATTTCTTATTGATCTTTCAGAATAAACCACACTCAAATCCAAAGAAGCAAAATTATGCTCGAATCAACTCACAAACCTCGTCTCACGGCACAAGGAGAACCAAATATATCTTGTCTCACGACACAAGAGAGCCGATTTTTTTTTTCCATCTTTGAGAGTCAAAGACACACCAACAATTTTATTTTGATCTCAATGCTTAGAAAAGCCACGCATGATGTAATGTATACATCAAGTCATCAACTCAAACTCTGCACCAACACTAACTTGCACAGCGGAATAAACTAAAAAAAAAAAATTGGTAATTTTTGCTAAAGGATCATCCCACCGGTGGGTTTAATTTTTAACCCACCGGTAGGGGGGAAATTTTTTATGAATGGTCCCAAGATTTAACCTGCTCTTGATACCATGATAAATTTTGAAACAATATGAAATGGGTGGTCTGGGCAACCCGAACAAGGAGGAGAAGAGTTTGGTCCACAAACAAGGCTTTGGAGCTTCCATACTAAAACCAATTGGCCATAGTAGGAGTAACTCCTCTACCTTATAAAGTGGAACCAACTCTCCTCTTTCTCCAATGTGGGACACTCACAAGTGGGCTACAATGGGTTTCAACACTCCCCCTCACTTGTGAGTGTCTTTAGAACTTAGAGCACACCAGAAGGTAAAATATAAATCCTCTTTGGGAATGAACATCCAATAGAGGCCCCTTAACCATTGGCTTGACAAATGTCCAGTTATAAACGGCCCAACAAACCTGGGCTCTGATACCATGACAAATTAGAGAGGAGCTAGAGAATAGAATGGCTTGTTTATTATTCATCAATAGGTGAGTATTTATACAAAACCTACGAACATAAAATAGGAAACAATATTCCTAAAAGATATACCATATAACCTAATGATATATTCTCTAAATAATATCTTAACATAAGATAATACTAAATATATTATTATCATAACAATATCTATACGGAAAATATATCACATATATTTTCCGATATATCATATCTCTAACAAAATCACCTATCCAAATTTTATGTTTTTTCTGAAGAATTTCAAGTATATAAGCTTGCCCCTTAAACCATCTCTCTTTTAATCAGGTATATTTTCTTTTTGCCATTCTTAATTATGCTATTTTATTCGATTGTAACATTAAAGATTTGTTTTATTCAACTTATTTTGACTTATTTTAATCAACTTGAGTTTAGACCACATAAGCTTTCATAAAGCGTCCGAAATATCGGAGGGACGAGGTGTTGCCGGATCAATAGGATCAAGGACATTATATGCACAAACATGATTTTCAAAAAATTCCATCCAATAAGAATATTGGACCTTTTTTTTATAATCTAGAGTTAACAGCATTGAATTCTTGATATTAGTATTCGTGAGTGCCGGGTGGAACTCGGTGGAGGGTGGAGGAGGAGGTGGTAGAGCGAGGAGGCGGGTTGTCACCGTCCTTCGTCATAGGCTCATAGCTAAGGCCTAAGGGGCGGTGATGTGTTCGGAATTGAAAGCGGAAACAAAATAATTAAACATAAAGAATGAGGATCGAAAATCTAAAGTTGTGATACGATAAAGATACAAAATATACATAAAATCTATCATAATTTGCGACAAATATTATCATGAATATAATATCTATCATATGTTTCTCAAAATTAAGCTTTTCAATTCTGTTATTCTATTCTACTATGCCACTAATTTTATGTTTGATATAAATACAGTCAAATTAGGTAATATGTATGTTTCAAAAAAAAAAATAAAAAAAAATAATATGTACTAGTATTATTTTAAGGTGAAAAGAATGAGCCTTAAGCTTTTTTCAATTTTTCTTTCAAAAAAAAAAAAAAAAAAGCTTTGTTCAATTTTATTGTTTATAAGTATGTACTAATTAATTAAGTATTATGTTTGATGTATAATACGTAGTAATATCTAATATCTAAAATCTAAATTAAGCCTTTCAATGTTGTTTTTTTGCTAGATTTTAACCTCAAAAAACATGGGATCTACTTCAAAGAAGCATGATGCAAGAGATAGGTTGAGTGAATTGCCTGATGAAATTCTGGTGCACATTCTTTCATTTCTGCCAATTTTAGATGCTGTTAGAACTTTGTCAATTCGCAGATTTGGTAATCTTTGGACTATGATTTCTTCCCTTGATTTTAAAGACTATGAATTTTTCAAAGCAGGGAATTGGCCTAATTTCATAATAGATTTTGATAAACAAATTCATTGCTTTACTAGTTTTGTTCGCAATGTACCCATGCTTCACAAAGGGATCCCGGTTGATAAATTCGTGCTTCATTTCAATGACATATATATGTATGACGATGATGATAAATCACTTATCACATACGTAAACTCATTGATGAGATTCGCAATAGATAGACAAGTCAAAGAAGTAGAAATTCAAATTGATGATACTAAGGAAGTTTATGATTCTAATTTACCTCAATGTATTTTTACTAGTCAGTATCTTGTTATGCTGAAATTTGCTCACTGTGAAATCAAGTGCCTAAGTAGAGTCCAAATGGGATCGCTAAGAAAATTATCACTTACCAATGTTAATGTGAGTAATGAGATGTTCGAGAAGATCATATCTGGATGCCCTACTTTACAAGAGTTGGTTATGAGGCATGTACATGTATTGGACGAGCTGCGAATTACTGCTCCAAACATTGAGAAGTTAGATCTTGAATACTGCAGTCGATGTGTGCTCGATTGCCCTAACCTGAAATTTCTAAATATTCATCTCATTAGTAGCAGAGAGTCAATTCTTCAAGTGGTTAATATTCCATCTGTTTGCCAAGTTTATATCCAATCTACTTTTCAAATTGATGAAATCGTGAGCAAGATTTGTACAGTTGAGGTTGTTAAATTTTCAGATGGGGCTTTTCAGGTGAGTTTCTCTGTTTCCACTAGAGCCTTACACTTCAATTGACATGATTTTAGAAGAAAGTAGAAATTAGATTATTGATGACATACTTCTCATTCTCATTCAGCAATCAAATTTCAAGGAGTTGGATATTCCACAAACTAGATGGAAGCGTTTACATATCGAGTCACAGCTTGATGAAGATCAGTTCATAGGTATTTTTAGAGTCTTGAATAGGTCACCTCACTTGGAAGAACTCATAGTAGGCTCATATTCACATCAGAATTTGTGGCGATATTTTGTAAGTGTATATATGATGCTTATTCAAAATCTATTATTGGCCTGACTTTCATGTAATATATAGTCTTTTTATTTAATAATGTACAGGGTAAAAGGCGTAAAACACATGAGCATCACGTACTTTCCGAAGAGCTCTCCTCCCCTTGTGTGATTCCACTGCTCAAATCTGTGACCATTCATGGCCACAAGGTACCTTGTCAGGGTCTGCTTCAACTAGCAGAATTTTTGCTTAAAAGTTGTGTTAACTTGGAAAAGATGGTAATTTTACCCACTACTTATAATTTGGGAGCAGTTGAAGAGATTAAGTTTGTGGGTCGGAGATATACTTAGGGGTGAGCAAAAATTCCGAGTACCCCGAAATTAAATTGGAACCGGTTAGGAACCGGTGGGTCCAGAGCTAGAATTGGACCTAGTGGTTCCAATGCCGGGTAATAAATTAATGAACCGGTTGCAACTGGTTCCAATTCCAATTCTTGATTTTTTGGACCCAGAACCGGTTGGGTACCCGGTTAACTAACATATGCTACACTAAATAAGTTTTTTTTTAAAATAAAATATTTATGTTAAATCTATTTAGTTACTCCGTAGTAAAATAAAAAAACTATTTTTAATACCTAACATAACTAAAATATCTTAATGTCGCATTAAATACAAGTGTTAAACGCTAAAAATGAAAATAAATTTAAATAAGTATTATAATTTATATTATATTTTAATAATTATTTACATAAATAGGTACCTGGAACCGGTACTCGGTGGTTCCAATTCCAAGTCCTAAATTTTAAGACCATGTTGAACCAATTCCAATTCCGGTTCCAAATTTTAGGACCCGGTTCCAACAAATTCCGAATTTGGGTCCTAAAATTCAAACCGGGTACCCGGTTTGATCACCCCTAGATATACTAGTTGCAGCTGCACCTTTATGCCTCAAGTCTTGATTTCGGCATTCATGTCAATGATGGTGGTTATTCTAGTGTTGCTAGACGATGCAGCCCGACGGTGGTGTTTGATGTGCCTATCGGTGGTGAGGATTTTACACATTCATTTAAAAATAAATGATGGTCACATAAAGTGGGACTAGGTGAAATTGCTGGTGTACTCTGGCCTGATTGGCATTTCTTTGATAGATAAGTGATAAATTTTTAAGTTTATAGCTGATCATATTAAGATTGTTAACTGTACTGATATTCTTAGGGCTGGATCCACGAGGTTATTAATACAGTTCCTTTGCTCTGAGGTTTTATTTTGTATCATGTTCGAAATTAGTTGTTGCATTACTGGTTCAAATTACACTATCAACCGGCTTTTTTTGATGGACTAGTGGCTGAGTGATGGTTGATTGATAGAAACCTTTTGAGCAATGTTGGGATCAAGTATAAAGTAGATAACATATGAAGAGCTATTTCTCAAAACTTCTTAGCAATTGAATCCATGTAGCAACAATGCAAAGATATCAACATTTGTTTGAATTGAGGGAGAGGTGTAGTTATAATAATAGTAGCACACCCTGGAATCAGAGGTCCAACTTGGGTTTGAATCTTTGTTGTAACAAAGGGAGGAGGTGGTAGGGGAGACAAATATTGATGTTTGAGTTGGGCCTTTTGTTTGGGGTGATAGTTATGTTGTGTGCATATGACAAATTTTAAGATGCACCATGGTGCACCTAGAAATAGGTGCACCACGCCTATACTTTTGAACAATTAGTAAAAAAAATTTGAACAATTGCAAATTTTGAACATGTAGTAGAAATATCTGAACATCGCAAGTTTTGAACATTTAGTTAAAAAATCTGAACAATTGCAATGCATCATGCCTATACTTTTGAACATTTAGTAAAAAGATCTAAACAATCGAGAATTTTGAACATTTAGTTAAAAAATCTGAACATCGCCATTTTTGAACATTTAGTAAAAAAAATCTGAACAATTGCAATGCAACACGCCTATAATTTTGAACTTTTAGTAAGAAAAAATGAACAATAACAAATTTTGAACATATAGGAAAAAAATCTGAACAATCGCAAATTTTGAATTATTACGAGTCAGACAAATTTTGAACTAAATCGAAATAATTCAATAGTTTTGTAATATAAACTGAACATTTAATGTATACAAAATGAACATTTCTCAATAAAATATGAACATAAAAATTGCATGTTTATGTTCAATTACTGTGACGTGTTCATATTTTTTTTACTAAATATTCATTTTTTGCAAAATGTTCAAAAGTATATTCGTGGTGCACCTATTTCTAGGTACACTATGGTGCACATAATACTAATTGGTGTGCATATAGCATGTTTTCTTACCATGTATCCGGGCTGAAGTTTTACAGAGCAAGTAGACCTTAAACTTGATGCGAAGAATCTAAGATGCTGAAATAATCTCACCAACATACGAACACACTCTAGGGGATCATGAACAACAACTAGTATAAAAAAGAGAGTGTATTTGGGAACTGGATGATTTAATAGCACGAGTTCTAAATAAAGAAGAAATAAACCAGAGGGACTACATATATATGGACAGAGATTTAACTTAATTTATACCATGCATAGAGTATACCCGATTATACATACCTGTGGTTGAGGTTAGTTTTAAAATACTAAAAATTTAAAAAAACAAATGTTTGAAGATTGAGCTCCATTATTTAAAAAGATTGATTTTCTAATTAAATACTCGTAAATTTACACATTACTCGTAATTTATTCATGCTCATAGCTTTCTAAAAAAAAAAAGTATTCATGCTCATAATTTATTATCACCTACCAAACGGGTTATTAATTAACCGTAAGCTGCAAGATTTAAAAGTCGTACCTAAATAACGAATAAATAAGGCAAAGGCTACGGGGGAAACTATATAACTAATCCAACTTAATTTTCGCTCTCCTTCAAAAACTAGCCTGAAATCCCTTCACTTGGTTTTTGCAGAAAAATCCAAATTTCACGTTTTTCTGATGAAATTCAAGTTTAAACCTTGGCTTCTAATTCCTTCTCTTTCATCTGGTAAATCGTCTTTTCTACGTTCTGAATTTGATATTTTTGTTTTCAATTTATTCTGTAATTTTGACCTAATTCTATTTTTGATGTATTATTCTCTGAATTTAGCTTCTTTTTTTTTTTTTTTTTTTTTTTTACAATAAAAATAAATAAAGTATTTAGCTATTCAATTATGCTATTCTATCATTTCAGGTTAATTTCGATGAGTTCATACAAAATAAGTTTTCAATTTTGTTATATTCCTCAATTATATCGCTTTCTTTGACTTAATTATATGTTTGATGTAAACACTCTCTTAATCTCTCATTTTGTTATTAACAGATGTAAACACTTAATTTCATCAATTTCCCTTTTAATTTTGTTATCCTACTCAATTACTTTGTATATCACTAATTTTGACCTAACTTTATATGTGATGTAATACTCTCTGAATTAAACCTTTTAATATTGTTATTCTATTCAATTAATTGATTTTATGTTTGATACTCTGAATTAAACCTTTTAATATTGTTATTCTATTCAATTAACTGATTTTGTTTGATGATAAAACTCTGATATTAACCTTTATGTTGTTTTCTAGATTATGACCTCAGAAAACATGGGATCGACTTCAAATACAAGTATTGCTTTTATGAAAAATGATGTAAGAGATAGGTTGAGTGAATTGCCTGATGATATACTGGTGCACATTCTTTCATTTCTGCCAATTGTAGATGCTGTTAGAACCGTCTCGATTCGCAGATTTGGTAATCTTTGGACTTTGGTTTCCTCCCTTGATTTTAAAGACACTGATTTTTTTAGAGCAAAAAATTGGCCTAATGCAGAAAGATGTTTTCGCTTTACCAATTTTTTGTGCAATGTGCTAAGGCTTCACAAAAAGAATCCCATTGATAAATTGCTGCTCCGTTTCTGTGAGACGAATGTGTGTGATATTTATGATACATTATTAATCACGGATTTGATTCATTGGATGAGATTAACAATGCAGAGACAAGTCAAGGAATTAGATGTTCGACTTGAATATGATGTTTATAATGAAGTTATACCTCACTGTGTCTTCAGAAATCCTTTTCTTGTTAAGCTGAAACTTTATCGCTGTCAAATTCAAGGGCCAAGTAGAGTCCAAATGGGATGACTAAGAAAATTATCACTTAACTATGTTAAGGTGAGTAATGAGATGTTCAAGCAAGTCGTATTTGGATGCCCTTCTTTACAAGAGTTGGTTCTGCATTATGCCTTTGACTTGGACGTGGTGCGATTTACTGCTCCAAACATTGAAAATTTACATGTTGAATCCGATCATATCAGTGTGCTTGATTGCCCCAACCTGAAGATTCTAAATGTTCACCTTTGTTGTAGAACAAGGTCAAATCTTCGAGTGGTTAATATTCCATCTGTTCGTGAAGTTCATATCCGATCTACTAACCAGTTTGATAAAATTGTGAACAATATTTGTAAAGCTGAGGTTGTCAAATTTTCAGAGGAAGCTTTTCGGGTGAGTTTCCCTGTTTTCACTAGACCTTACATGTTGGTTCGTTGATATTTAACTATGCAATCTCTTGTAGTAAAAAAATTTCCAATATTGTTGTCATGATGGTAGTCGATGCAACCATGAGTGAATCCTGTACAAAATCAATCTTGAATAGTATTTTAGAAATCTTGCCTTCTACTAATTATTGAATATTGATCATTACGTTATTGGTGTTGAGTTTATTTAATCATTCACTGGTTTTTATTGTGTACTAGTTAACTTGCTATGATCTTTCCTCAAATCCAAATTACATTGAGTTTAGAGATCCAATCAAGGATTTTTCTTTTCTTTTTCTTTTTGGCAATTAACACGATTCTGGTGCTTTATTGTTGAATGTGATCACATAATGCATTGGTCAACTTATTGGACAAAGTTAGATTACTGATAGCATACTTGTCATTCTCATTCAGCAATCAAATTTGAAGGAGTTAGATATTCCACAAACTAGATGGAAGCGTTTACATATTGAGTCACGACTTAATGAAGATCAGCTCATAGGTATATTGAGAGTCTTGAGAAGTTCAACTCAGTTGGAAGAACTCATAGTATTCTCAACTTCACGGAGGAATATGCAACGAGTTTCAGTATGTGTATTTTGTGCATCATGTTTATTTGAAATCTATTATTGGCAAGAGTTTCATTTAATAAAGTCTTTTAATTCAATAATGTACAGGGGAAAACACATGACCATCATTTGTTCTTCGAAGAGCTCTCTTCTCTTCGTGTGATTCCACAACTCAAATCTGTCACCCTGCACGGCCACAAGGTACTTTCTCAGGGTCTGCATCGACTAGCAGAATTTTTGCTTAAGAGTTGTGTCAACTTGGAAAAGATGGTAATGGTAGGAGTTGAGGAGCATAAGTTTGTGGAGCAAGTATGTAGCTTTCCAAGGGCCTCCGCAAATGCAAGGGTAATCTGTGAGTAGGAAGTATACAAGTAGCAGCTGCACCTTTGCACCTCAGTTTTTATTTTGGCATTCATATTAAAAATGGCGGTTATATTAGTTGAAGGCAGAAGTTGCGGCCTTAATAGCGCTGTTTGGTGTTGCTAGCAGTGATTATAATGATGGGTCACATTATCTTGTAGGACTTGTTGGTATAGCTGGTGTACTCTTGCCTGATTAGGATTTCTTTGGTAGAGGGATCTCTAAGTGGACTCAACCCTGAAACTTTGATGATTTTATTGATGTTTTAAGTTCTAGGTTCAAAGCTATGTGTTGTTTATTTTTCTTGCATACTACAGTCTCACAAAAAATAGGTTATGTGCTTCATGAAAAACAGGAGTGCCTTGATTGATTCAATTGCATGGTTATGCATTTATTGAATTCAAATTATTTTATAGATGTTGTGTGCCTTTTTATTACGGATTAATGAACTCTACTCAATTTCCATTTTAGGTTGTTTTTTGACATATTCATTTTACTTGTTCTCGAATAATACACTTGATTTTTTTTTCCTCAACTTTGACTATTTTTTATTGCTATTATATAAAATAAAATGCTAATAAATAATCTAACATACGAAGTATATCTTATCATTAATAAATAAAGCCAAATTTCATAGCCAGAGATATACTTCTAAAATTTCATATACACAAAATTATAAATTCTTATATGTGGTTGGCCACAGCCAGTCATCATAGGAGTTACTTCGTTGTGTAATAGGGATTACTTTATCAGTGTTAAAGGAGTTATTCCGTCAATGTTATATGGGCTATTTGTCAGTTTAATCAAGGTTATTTTGTTCTTTTATAAGTGGTCATACGGTGTGGTCAGCCACACGCAGGACAGAGGTGAGAATCAATAATATGATTTTTGATTGAATTTGGCTTTTGATCCTAGTTAGATATTTTTTTTAAGTGAGTTATTAATAATATGCTTCAAAGTTCAAATTATACTCCGTTAAAAGTGGTTGATCATATTGTATCAGAGTATCAGTAGTGCATAATCGACCTATATAATTTTGCATTGATATCTAAGTGTTTTCGTTTCTCCGATCCCTTTCCAATAGATATGTGTTTGAAATTTCTTCGTACTATCTTTTTAGGGTCTAAAGATTAATCTTTGGTTATTGATCATCATTTTCTTTGATTATGTTCTCTTTAAAGATATAGTTGAAACAAACCCGAAAGATTTTACATTATAATGTAAATACAGAGTTATATACTGCATCTTGTGATTATAGTTTCTTGATGTACTTAGGTGGTATTATTATCTAATGAGTGATATAATTTCTTTGATATTACGAGTAGCACTCATGCTGTTGTACACGAGTTGAAATTTATGAATTATGATGTTATGTTACGGGTTAAATTTTACATTATAATGTAAATGCAGAGTTATAAACTGCATCAATCTTGTGATTATAGTTTCTGAGTGGTTGGCGTAGTTAGGTGGTACTCTGTATTATTATATGAGTGATATAATTTCTTGGATGTTACGAGTAGTACTCGTGTTGTTGTACATGGGTTGATAATTATAAATTATGATGTTATGTTCCGGGTTAAATTTTATGTTTCCGGCCTGTATGTGTTTGTTACTTTGTTTCTTATTTGGTCTTCATGCTAATTTTTGTTCTTTATATTTGTAAGAACTTTGTATCAACTGTCAACATGGGCTGCACTTTGGATCTTGAAGCTATTGCATCGGAAGCTCATAATGCAGAGTATAATCAAATGGTAGATTCTTAGAGTTTGTTAATGAATATCTTAATTTTTTTCTTAATGCCTTAAAATACTTATGATTAATTGTTTCCTATTCTGCTGTTCTGTAGCGTTATGCAGCTGTCATTATGAGGATAAGGGGGCCAAAGACGAAAGCCCTAATATTTGCTTCTGGAAAGATGGTGAGCTTGTACCTTAGCTCTTCTTATATATAAAAATTTGTTAAAACGGGTTTTCTCTTTAAGATTTAGGGAAATTACCGTGTTAATTGATTTTGTGTTCACTTATACCGGCCGCCTGAATAAGTTGTCAGTTTGTCACTTGTCATGCTTGTTAAACCCAAGTATGATTCCATTTGATAGATATTGATTGTTTCGGATGAAAACAATGGGACCTTACCGAAGGTCCAGTGAAGTGGATGAAGACTTGTTCGGTCCAATAGATGCTGGGCCGAAGGTTTCCTGCACAGCAAAACACACGTAAACTGGCCTCGGGGGTGGATCCGAGGAAGACCCCTCGATGCCGAAGTCAAACAGTGTATTTAGAGAGAAAGCTATGCAAGAGATTTAGTGCTTGAGGCTTTTGTGTGTATATCATGAATGAATGAATTGAAGGCTTTTATACCTTGGCATGACAAAAGGAGGAGAATGACTGGGCCGGATTGAGTCATGGGCTGACCATGACAATTTGGACCAATTGACACATAGTTGACTTGGCTTGATTGGAGGCTTGGGCCTTGACCTAGGAGCATTGAATCATTTAATGACTAGGCCCAATTAGATAAATTGGACCCAAACAACTTGCCCCCCAGACCTGATTTGGAAGGATGACGGGTCGGGTTTGAATCCAATAAAAATGGAGGGAAGTAAATGATTTAATTAAATCAAAAGATTTAAATTTTTGAACAGTTATTAATTAAATAACTGTAATTTGGATAATTAATGGGAAATGGAGTGGATAGTGGGCGGTTAACCAAGTGAGAAAGTGTTTAACGGTTAATTAAGGAGGCATTTAAGAGAAGTTTAAACTTTTCGACCTTTGAGATTCTCCTTCCTGGAATTATAAGGTCTGATTCGCATTTTCGCCTCACTTCTTCACCAACTTACACTCGAATTCTCACATAAACCCACTTTTGCTTTGAATTTTTAGCGCAATATCCCCGAATCTGAGTTCGACACTCAAATCCGTCACTTCCGCTGACTTGACCGGCGTATTTTGGCCTATTTGAAGGTAAATTTCTTCGAGCTCTTTTGATTTTCTTGCCTTTTTTAGAGAATTCCTCTGTTTCCCACCTTTCTTCTTCGAATTTGGTTATGGCTCGAGGAAGAGGGCATCAACCAGGTCGACGGGGACAGGCTGGAGATCCCCGTGACCGCGCCGATGTTTGGAACGGGGAACGAGTCGGGGAAGACCCGGAGAGGGGAATTCCGGCCGTTCCTTTGAATGCCACGCCGCCTCAGCAGGACGCCGGGGCCGGCGAGGCGGAGCAGCCTGAACATAGAGAACGAGCTGGGCAGGCCGAAGATTTTCCCCCTGTGCTCTGGGACCTGCTCCCTGGGCATGCTGAATGGCAAGATGCCGAGGCTCTAGACGCCATGGTGAGAAATACTCCTTACTCTTGGTGGGTTCGGCACGCCGAAACCTACCGATTCGCCGAGCAAATTGAGTTGCACTACGACATTTTCGAAGAGGATGGGCATTGGTGCTGAATGCCCTCGCCGACTGACAGGATTCACCGTCCCCCTCCTGGATATATAGCGGTGTACACTCGGCAATTATAGTATGGGCTTCGGTTCCCCCTGGATCCCTTCGTCAGGGATATTTTAATAAAGTACAGGATTTCCCTGTGCCAATTAACACCCGTTAGTATTCGGCGGGTGATGACTTATCTTTGGGTGTGCCGGTTTTTTGCCGTTGAGCCGAATTTGCACTGCTTCCAAAGGATGCATCAACTAGTGCAGAACATCCAGAGCGTGTACGGCCAACACGGGTCTTCAGGCTGGTGGCGAATAGAGAGCCGCCCCCAATATCTGACTATGTGGCCGAACGATTCTTCGGATAAGGATTGGAGAGGTCAATGGGTCGTGGTGAGAGTTCCCGCTGATCCGGAGCACCCTTATTTTTTCGGAGCTCCCCGATACCTCTCCAGGCCCGATCCGAACATGCAGGATCTGGGCCCTGAAGACCCTGATGTCGCTCGTCACCACAGCTACGAGCAAATGAGCTTCTTCGGGAAGCAGAATAACCCTGGGGGAGTTGGCCGAATGAGATTTATCCCGGCCAGATGGCTTCCAGATAACCATTACGTCTTCCAAGAGAAGATGTTGGCGGTTGTCGGCCTCAGCCGAAAGTACAGGAATGGTAAGTATGTTCGGCTGGGGTCGAGGACATTATCTTGAAGCTACCTCGGGTATTGACTATAATCGGCTTGGGGTGAACGTCGAACAAGTCATTCTAGATCGGGCTCCGGCGATCACGGCTCCGAAGAACCGTCCATTGCATCTGCACGAAACGGGCCTTCAGATCGAGGTTGCCGCCGATTACACCAAGCAGAAGCCTTGTTGGGAAAAGTGGGATCCTTTGAGGCCTTTGCTCGCCGAGGAAATACTCGCCGCTCAGGCTGCCTGCCGGAGAGGTGACTAGGGCCATCAACTCCCTAGAGAGTGGTGAGGGTACCTCTAGGGCTGCCGAGGCCCAGCCGAAGACATTGGTAAGTCTTTCAGCAATTAAACTTGATAATTTAATTATTATTATTTTTTTTTTATTATTATTAATTTTTTTTTTTTTACTGATCCCTTCTTGCTCCCCCACTTCTACAGTCTGAGGGAGAGGGCAGAAGGAGAGAAGGAAAGAGTCCGGCATCGTCAGACGACCTTTTAGAGTTAGAAACTTCAGAATCTGACGATATGGACGATCAACCTCTGGAACAGAGGAAGAGGAGAAGGACGGGCCCAGCTGTTATGGGTCCGGGAGAGTTTACGCTGGGGCCGAGGCCCGGCATAGTAATAAGGGAACCGACTGCTGGACTGGGCAGGGTTCCGAGAAGTACAGGGGGTCCTCCGCCTCCGGTTCAGCCACCGCCGCCGATCCCGTCGCCGCCGAAGACTCCTCCAGCTGCTGACATGGAGGTGGACCAGCGGACTCCTGATCCGAAGGCGGGGGTTCCTGAAGGGGTTTCCAACAGGGGGAGCGCTGCTGAGCTCCCTGAGATTGAGATTGTTGAAGTAGCCGAGGAGGCGGCTACTGCTAAAGCCGAGGCCCCTAGGGGCTTCACTAAAGAGATCCAGCGGGAGGTTGACGCCTTGATTAGTCAACCTCTCGGCGGGGCTGAAGGGGTCCAGGTCGGAGGGGACCAGACTGAAGGAGGGGAAACGACTGAGCCCGAGAAAGCTGATGAAGTTCCGTCAACTTCGTTCCCCTCTTTCAAATCCTTGCAATCTGGGGACATGGGGTTCTCAGCCAAGAAGTGCTCTATCCCTGCTGGCGTTAGGGCCGAGATTTGGGGTAAGCACAAGAAAAGCGCTGAGGCTTATTTCGGCGGGTGCTCCGACTTATCTGAAATAGAGCAAGTCCGAGAATGATCTGTTCGGGCCACTGCTGGAATAGCCGAACCTGGTCCCTCAGTACCAGATCCTGCCCGAGACAACCAGAGGCTGCTGATGCAGGTATGCAACTTGCA